ACAAGTGCACACAAAGAGTAAAACCTAGACGAGGAAGTAGCCCGTAAAGCTTACCTTTCGTTCAGAAAGCAACTTGAATGCTCCCGGANTTTTACTGGTCACATTCGGAGCAGTTTTTGCCTCCCTCAACCTCGCGCTCTATGTCACAACAACGAAAAGCTTCTTATGTCAACAAACGGTTATGGGTGGTTTTTGTTAAACTGAGCTACTGTAGCCCATCCCTAGGAAAGAATAAATAACCGCAAAATGATTGTGTTAGTCGTCGTGCCAGGAAAAATATGTGGCCATTGATCTGCACTCCCAAATGTCCTTTATTCTTCTCACGTACAAGCCGGTCCGTTCAAAAAGTAATGGTTCCTCGTTAAGTGCCCTTTCGTTTGAAGTGCAGCCACATTCAATTGAGCAAGGTTCAAAATAGAACGTAAACGATGTGATTGCAGCCACAAAGCAAACCGTACCTCCCCAAAGAACTATTAGGCCATAGAACCGATCGTGTTCGAGAGTAAACCACAATTGGAGCACTGAACAACTCTCTCGTGGCAATGGGATGAGCCATGCATTCAAAGCTCATTAACATAATTAAAGGATAAGATCACAAGGTCCCCTAGCGTTAATCAGTCTAGATGCGCCATGCATACGACTTCCATTCAGATTCATAGGGACGTATTGAATGGAGCGAGACCAAACATCGACTTGTGTGACCCCGGAGCAATTAAAGGCATGATCGGTCTGTCCAGATATCGACACCGGATCCGATCTCCGAACCATTTGTGATTTTGCGCCACTTGCCTCTATACTACGGTTCTTCCTGTTTTGGGTATTGGCCGTGCATTTGAAATCATTTAATGAAATAAGCACCAATATATGGGTTTCTAGGGCGGAGGTGGTGTGTCGATAAGTGGCGCGGTTCACACACGCGTGGTCACGGGTTCAAATCCCGTATCGGTATCCGATATAGTCACTTAATTGGTAGCAAACTCGCCTGGGAGGATAGAAACATCGACTTATACATCGGCGCCAGTGCGTGGGCGCATCCCATAAGTGGATTGAACATTGCCAAAACTTTATGCCAACGAGACTGAATTTCAGTCTTCGTTCAGCATTATGTGTTAGAAACTTGACAGAAAAGCGTCCCTGATATCAGAAAACATCCATTCACACTTCTGATGGATTGATCAACGCCGTAACTCTTTATCCTTTATCCTTTTTATTTGGATTTCTGTGCTTGTGTGTTTACCCCCACTAGTAATCCTGCATCGGGTTTTTTACCAGGTTCAGAAATGTGAAAGAATGCTCAGTTTAGGCGGTATGTCTTGTGAAGGCTCTGGATCTGGGAGAACCGCTATTTTCTGGTCCCTTATCTGCCGTCCTCGAAGCAACTATTTCTCGGAATTTTCCGTAGGAACCCGGTTCCCGTTGCGTTAACTCGCTCAATCTGAAGATCCAGATTTATAGTACACTGCAAGCACACAATCAAATGCCACAACAATTCTAATTAGAAGCTGAGTGTGTGTTCCATCTTGAGAAGGATTTAGCAGCACCAAGTGTTTTGCACTTTAACCACATTCTTCATAGAAAAGACGTGATCTTGATTCACTCAAGCCGTGTAATACTCTTAGATCTCGCAACTCCGTGAAGAGTTTTATAGGCTGAATCACTTGGGTCCCCCGAACGGGAGGCAAGAAACAAAAGTCATCCTTCAACCATTCAGATGGCATTAAAAGCAGTTAAATGCGTAGCGTATTCCAAAGAAGAACGCTAAGCATCGAAATGTGAAAAAGATTGAGCGAAGCTGATGAATAAATTACTCATAGTATAGGTAATTAATATCGAAATCACTAATTACCCTTGACAATAATAATCGGGAGCTTTTCCAAGGATAATCCCTCGGATAGTTTTGGACGGATCCCCACAAGCGAACTTTCATTCATTGCTCTCATTGTTCGCCCAACTTCCTCCTCCCAAGACAACAAGCTAATTGACTTAAAGTGCAACAGGAGCTGTTCGTTTTACTGTGGTTCCTTATCAACTGTCAGAAGTAATCTCGAGTGGGCAGTATGTATACCAGTTAAAAAAAACTACTGAGTAAAGAGAGTTCATACGAAAAGGTAGAATGTCAACATATTTCGTAATTGATTCCCACTTCTCACCTGATTTGGACGATGTTCCCCCAGGAATCCAATTCGATTACTGGTTTCTCTCTCGATAAGGAATACAATGGGCCATTCTCTGCTCCGGTTTCGATATAATGGTGTTCTATCTGTAATAATATTTCATCGTCAAAAAGTAAAATTCGATTATCGTTCCATCATAACGATTCATGTCATACCCCCTTACATCATCGCCCAGTTTCCAAAGGTTTTGGAGAACGTGCGGATCGCCTATGAAGATTACACACTGACTTTTAGAGTGGCACGATGTCACAGTCGTTCGGGGCTTTCCCCAGACAATCAGCCAGTTTGGTGGAAGCAAAAAGAGATGGGCTTTTTTGGCTTTTTTGCAGGAGCCAGAGCGTATCCTTTTCACCAGCTTTGCACGTGCACGAGTCGTGAAAAGATTTTGTAGAAGAAAAGACCGAAGTGTGTTTTTCGAGATCGAAGGCGCTCACGACGTCACACTTTATCGCAACAGCAAAAACTCAACGAGGCGATGATGGCTGCTGACTCATTGACTCAAAGAATCTTAAATCTACTAGATTCTACGATTCTGGTCGGCCTCCAAGCCGCACGAACAAGTGCACACAAAGAGTAAAACCTAGACGAGGAAGTTTACCTTTCGTTCAGAAAGCAACTTGAATGCTCCCGGATTTTCGTTCTTCAACTGTGTTGCACACTGGAAACCATCAACTAATACTGTATCGCCACCTTTTTCTGCTGCATGAAGACAATGGAATACCTAGAATGGATTTTGACTTGAGGTGACGATGCGAAAACTTCACAAGGTTGGCGAATTATGCACAAACCTCGGCCTCGGACAGGACAAGTACAAGTTCGAGCCCCATCCGAGGCCGAGGTTTTCCACACAGTATTTGATCCCATCAAATCATGCCACCCATTGCGAAGCGGATTCCGCAAATCTCCGGTTTTATTAAACGGTTCATGGGGCGATTCGGAGGTTTGACCTGACTCGAAAGTGCTCGCTCGCTTTACTGATTATGCTTGATGCCACTGATTTCTTTCTCATCGTTTGGTATCTCATGACCACCTACAGGGAGTTCTTCCGTTATGTTATACATCAATTTACGATATAAGTAAATGGTTCCTGTGAGTTTACATTATTGTAAACAGTTCTCAGAACCAAACACATTGCCCAATAGTAAATAGATGGTCTCTCAGGAGAACTAACAATAACAGTACTATCAACAATAAGATCTTGTCGGGTTCCATAATAAATGAACAAGAAAAGGTCCGGCGTTTTTCGCAGACCCATTTAAGTTCTAAAAGCATAAAAAGAATCTACAGAAATCAAGTTCATTACTGTGATCCACGTGTGCGGTGTGCTACCTGTTTCATGAAGTCGTCAATGGTCAAGCGTGAGGTAGCAAACTGCAGAGAATTAGAGCAGACCCCATTCGACGCTTTTTAAGTATCACCTGTATCAACTGTTGTCCTTTTGACCATCGATTCGTCCCTTTCGCCAACTGGTGTACTCCAGCGGGTCCTCTTCACTTGAGGGACACAAGACACGTAAATCCTATCGTTCACAGCTTTCGTGAAGTTTTTCCACCATCTGGTTGGTTGCCGCCCTGGTGCTCGTTTGATACTGTAGTCTCCCAATCAACGCCGAAACTTTTCCTCGGTTTCTTACTAGGCCTGGTGGAATAAAAGTACCTACTTCACAGAATCCGTGAGACCCTGCGATTTCCGAGTAGTATGAGCTCAATTGTATTCAGGTCCACAATCTAGGCTCGACCGCATTCCACATCCATCGTAACCACCCAAGCTCCCACTTTCATAGAGCGGGACAGGTTAACTGGGACTCATTGCCGGATGGGACTCCCACGAGCTGACCGCTCAATTTCTGATATGTGTTGGCATTATTGCTTCATGAACGACAGGTCTAAAACATGACTTTTCCAGTTAAACATGTCTGACGTGCAATTTCCAACCGTGACATGTCAAACGAGTCATCCAATTCACTCGTTTCCAAAAGCCAACCAGTTTCACCAATTCAGTTTGACTGGAAAGGTGTTCCGGGCGGTATGTCCTTTGTGGGAGATTAATAACCGCCACGTCACTTTCCCCATTTTCACAAGAATTCATGACAGAACATTGAAGAATACTTCAACGAATACTGCGATCAACGAAGAGTTTGAGTAAGAGAAGTAGGAATTAGAGGATAAAATCTCTGATATGAATCAATTTTGTTTTGGGATGCGTTTCCCGCACATACGTTCAGAATCGTAGTGGCGTATTGAATGCGTATGTGGCCTATACAATGACTTGAGGTGACCAGCCGGTACACAAGTCAGTGTTTTCATCTTCCTAGATGAGTCTGGTACCAATTAACCGACCCTGGAGGGATAGAAGGCTATGTTGACCTAAGCGCGTCTCATTCAGGATTCGATCCCCGGACCATGTGTGCGTGATAATGCTACTTGCCACTACAAGACTGTCGTCCCACGACATCGAGAATCAAAAATATCTTGCTGGTCGTCCCTTTTTTGAATTCTGGGTTTTTAGGCAACGTTTCCTTTCTGAAAACAAGTCTGAGGCCAAATGAAATTCTGTGTTTGGATAAAAACCAAAAAAGAAAACGCGTGGTGCTACTCGTCGTATTGCAGACCTTCCTTGTTTGGTATATTTCAACTGTATCTTGCTCTATCAATGTGAAGAAGAGTGGATGTGGCTGAAATTCGCTTCCTGATGCCCACTGAACATGAATATTGCTGTCGCTTTGTGTTGTTGAGGGTCACTCAGTTTGAAGTTTCTTTCGGAAGTTACAATAGCAGTATTTGATTTTTGAGTCAAGCTGCTCCCGTAGAAATTCTCAGCTCTTTTTGGGTGAATCCCCCTGAATTTTGAATAGTGAGCCCCTAAAGTTCAGTATGCCCACCTTTCTGAAGGTGTCGTGGAAGCAGGAAATCCTCGGGGAAATTGGAAAAGTTATGTACGTGCAACAAGCTTTCTTAAAATATTCCATTTCTTTTTAAGATTTGTTGAGGATCTATCTATAACATTTCGGAATGACTTACGGAAAAGCGTTCAGACCGTTGTCGGCTTAATACTCATTAGCTAACTGTAAATACAATCTGAATACCTGAATACCGGGAGTCTGATTGAAATAGGTGCCATCTGTGTGGGGTCCAATAGTGTCGCTGCCGTATGCCGTATCTTCATGATATTCTTCCTGATAANTACCGAAAAAGCATTTAGACCGTTGTCGGCTTTAATACTCATAAGCTAACTGTAAACAATCTGAATACCTGAATACCGGGAGTCTGATTGAAATAGGTGCCATCTGTGTGGGGTCCAATAGTGTCGCTGCCGTATGCCGTATCTTCATGATATTCTTCCTGATAAGCTTCAGATACGAATTCCAAGTAATTTTTTCTATATGAGGGTGAAACGAACCCCTTTTTCTTGTGCCTGATTGCTGAACACCCAAAACGCTCCATAGAAGGTGTCATGAATTGGCGCAACACGACGACAAAGTTCTTCTGTGGCCTGAGCACTTGCCTCGACTCCATCAATCATTACCATACCGTACTTAACAAATGATTCTGCGGCAAACTTCATATTGAAATCGGAGCTGAAAAGAAGGGAAGTTGAGCATTTTAGACGCTAACCATCTCGGAAGTCCCTTTCCCTTATTTTCTCTGCGGAGCTCTCATCGTTCGGATTAGTACAGAGGCCAATTCTCCGTGTAATTCAGCCCTACTCATGCAGAAAAGCTCACGTTGGCCGCTTTTGCACTTTGCCGTCAGCACGTTCCCCTTTAGTGTCAACACTTTCTTCCAACTCACATATGAATTCTAGGCAACTCGGTCCTCTCTAGTCGTTTCCACGGTTTTATGTGGTCGTCAAGTGGATGCGGCCTATCCAATTCGGAATCCTTAACAATGTCGTCGACTTGAAAAACGGACTGCAACCCATCCTTCCAACTGACGGTCAGGTGGGATCCGTTGTTGATTCGTGCGCTCTGTTCGCCGTCCACCTCGGCCTTCTCAAACAGATCTGTGGCATCGGAATTCCGTTGGTTTGTTGTCGCATTGTAACTCTGCGGATCTTTGCAGTGATCACGTAACCAGACCAGAGGAACGATAAACACTTGCGATTTGTCTCCTGAAATACAAAGAACATATGAGATGATGAAGCGGAGATAAGCAAAAATAAATACCGAAAACCCTTATCACCTCCGTAGGATATTCAAACATCTGCACACCACAAGCTTTCGTTTAGAACGTTCAAAAAGTAAAAGAAGGAGTACTCGTAGGAAAAACTATCAAATTTTCTGACATCAGTCAATCTCGTTCTGGGCTAAGGGGCGCATCCAACCTCCACGCGAAATTGTGTTTTTGTTTGGATGCGTACTCAGTCCATACAATATTTTTTGCAGGGACTAGATGACGCTACAAATTGCGTGCTTCTATGCTTTGTGATGGAGTTGGTACCAAATAATCGACCACGGAGAAAGTAAAGGGCTAGCTGACTTAGGTGGGTATTAGACGGGGATAACCATAATCATTCTGGTGGTAACGCTTTCTTGATACTAACCTACCCCTTTACCCAGAGGCCCCCAGCCAAATTAGGTAACTCCGGAGGGACTCCGTCTTGGCTTGTTTTTTTCTGATCCAGACGAAATACCACCTATTCTGGGATACCCAAGACCACGTCGATTCATTTAAAAAGGGAGGTTTGACTACAATTCTAAGCTTTTAAGAGGACGAGGAAGTCCTTCTGACCATGGGAACGATCTTTGTGTCAGTTGTTCCCGTATTACCAACTCATTTCTTTGTATTGCCAGTCCCTTCCATCCAGAAATCACACACGTGCAAAAATCGACTCGGAAGAGAATAGGCAAATCGATTCCTTCGTATTAGTGCTATCGCCGCACAACAGCCCTTTTTGCTGTGGCCGTTCTACGAGCTCGTCATATCGGACTATTCGTTATTCAGTCGTTTCCCCATTCACATTTTGAATGGGAGAAAAGCATTTTCTCCAGAGGCTATTATTATACATGAAAAATGGTCCACAGGACGCTTACCCATAGGGCTATCTACAGGTTACCCACGAGGATTTCAAAACAGGAAAACCTAATCAAGAACCAGAGGTAGCCGTCTAAAGTGAACGAATTTCGTTTTTCTGGACTCTAATCAATGGCTGGACTGTCTTAAAGTAAGGCAGGAAAGTCCTGTAGGGATTCCGGTTAACCAATTTGACTCAGCATTAGAAAGATATGTGAAGGGAGCTATTTGATAGGAGCCACTTAACTTTAAGCTGTTTGAGGATACCAGTACGAGGGCTCAAAGAGGTCTTGAAATCTTCGCTATCAAGAAATAGCCATGCCCACTAGTCTCCAGATAATCTGAGCGATCCCTCACTACATTATCAGGCGGTGTTTATCTTCAAACAGCTGCAAAACGATGCCACACCACTGGTTTTTCATGTGTCCCACTCTTCGAACAGAGTCTATTGTTGACGGAACCTGTTCGCAACTAACAATAAGTATCAAGGTAACTTCACGTCTCAACAAAGCACTTTTTGGATAGATCAGGCACGCATTTTCTGGAGCATGGGTGCCTGCAGAAATTTTACATGCAATCAAGCCTAAGCTCCGATAGGCATCGATAGAGAGATCGATTTCGTGATATAAAGCCGAGAAAAACGCTGGCTCCCTCCACTGTCTGCTGCCATCGTCGAAAGAAATTGCCTCATGGGAATCCCTGCACCCAAGGAATAATGTGGGTGGTAGAAGGAGCTATCAACACCACCGCAATGAGACACTTCGAATCCGCTAGATTTCATTCAAAATGGTTCCTCGTCTCTTAAGCTTCAAATCGATTCTTGGTTTTCACATCCACAGAACAGTGCTTCTGTACCGTTTGATGAAATCAAAACGTTTGATAATCCCTTCTAAGACAAGTGTCAATTCAAGAACAAGCAGAACCTTCCTCGTTCATTGTTTCTTTACCAAAAGTTCAACCGCGAAGTCGATCAAGGGCTGGTGTGGGTCTAGGACGCCGAGGCAGAGACCGATGGGAAACCGTGGAATCGGTGCAACCTCAAGGGGCCGGGCAATTTTATCGGCTGAACCTGCTCAAAGACGGTAGCTTCGCTTCCTCCGTATAATGGAAGAACCACAGTCTTTTCTGAACTCTGTTCCCGATGAGTCAAGCGCCTTGTTTATAATAGCCGAGATCTCAAAAACTGTATGACGATAGCGCTGTTACGTCATTTTACGGCAGCTCGGAAATGAATAACATATGACAAGTTCATGAAAAGTCAGTTCAATATCCTGATAAATTGTGATAACTGGTGGTAAGAGATTCCTTCTAACAAACTGACATCGAGCTTCGAAGAGCATTAATATTAAAAAAAATTTTTACCCAGATTTTACCGAATCAGCTTACTGTAATCTTCTTTCATACTTTACCAAATGTCAACAGTTTGAAGTCTTTTGTTGTCAATCAATCCCATTTCCGGGAAATGCCCATTCAGAATCGTAGTGGCGTCTTACCATTAGACAAGCCAAAGTGGGCGCATAGCACGCCACTTCCCACTACACCACCTCTGCCCGATGGGGCTTTCCGCCCCTCAAGAAAGCCACTCCATCTTATACTAACCAGTGCACTTTGACAACAGCAACAGTATCTCTCACCGGCCCTTGTAAATTGTTATAATTGTAAATAATTGTCCTAACACATCCATGTTAACTCCTTTATTTCTCACGTCAGGACTAACCTGAGCCTAGAAAGTGAAACAAAGAGACCTTGGGGAAGCTCGTCCATTTTGGGATTTTTGTTAACAAGGTAGTGGCCCTATCCCCCTTGCTGCGGACTTTTTCCCATTGCTTTTTTTGTGTATTGAAGTGGCACCACGAGTGAGTGAAGTGGTCCAGTGATATACCACAAAGCTCTCTAAAAACGGAAACAATCCTTTTTTTCCAAAAAAATCTCATTATCAATATCGGGCTTGGATGCTCTCTGAAATTTCAGAGTACATAATAGGAATCAGAGAGAAGATAAGGAATCGGACTGTACGAGAGTCGCTATCGCAATATGATAGAGTACAGTGACAATTTCAAGAGTAGTAGCAGATAAAAAGGCGATGGACCAAATGTCACACTCGTACGCAATCATTTCTTGTGGTTTTATTGGGAAAAGAA